TAATTATTTAAGCTATATTTAATAAATATAATAAATAATTTTATATAATAAGTTATTTTATTTAAATTATAGTTAAATTATAATATATAGGCTTATAATAGCTTATAGAAGTAATTTAATAAAAGTGCCTATAAACTATAATCCTCCTTTAATTAGTCTGTTGGTCTTTAGTTAATCCTTAAGTATATAACTCTAGGCTACTAATATATAGACATGGGGTTTAGGTTATAACAGTAATAAAAACATACCTAGCCCTACTTGATTCTCTATTACTTTTCTTGTAAAACCCGGATTGTAATAGTTTAAAAAATAAAAAGTCAATAGATTAAAAAAAGTATAAAAATATATTTAATCTATAGATTAAAAAATAAACAAGAGCTTAAGTATATCTTTAAGAATAATTATTAGCTTTTATAAAACTAATAAACAGTTATTTTTAAAAGGCCTTAAAATATAAAAGTAGCTATTAAAGCAGCTGGCTTTACTGCTTAAGCTAAAAAGTACCTGTAGAAATAGTTTTTTTCTAGCTAATAAAAAAGTATAAAAAGTCATGCTAGTATAAGGTTATGCTTGTATAATAAAAGTATTATACTAGTGTATTAATTGCCTATATTAAATAAATAAAATTCTTAAATTTAAAAAAATATTAAAAGTTTATTTAATTAATTAAAAAATATAGCCTAGTATTTAAAAAATAAAAAGTTAATAAAAGCTTATTAAAAAAATAGCCTATAAATAAAAATAAACTAGCTTTTTTAATTTATAAATTAAAATAATAGTATTATAACCTAAAACTATAAAATATATACTCTAGATATATTATAAACTAATAGGCTAATTAAAGAAAGATTACAGCCTTAAGAGTAAGCTATCTTAAATAGATTACTATTATAAAAGTAAGCTACTATAAGAGGATTATAATTAGGAATGTAAGCCTTATAGAATAACTTACTATATAAAACCTTTTATTATGCTTATTAAATATAGCTTAAATAGTTAGTTGTTAATATAGTATTTATATAATAATTAAATTGGACTTTTAGTTAAAGTTATTAGCTATATAACTAAGACTGCTTATAAAATCCCTTGTATTTCTTTACTAATATAAACCTAATGTTAGAGGTTTATCCCTTAGGAACTAGTTACCCTATACTAGGTGTAGGACTAGAATATTATAAAAAGTAAAAGCTTATTTAACCTATAGATTAAAAAAATATAAAAAAGTATTTAATTTATAAATTAAAAAAAAAGCAAAAGCTTAAGTATACCTCGAGGAATAATTATTAGCTTTTATAAACCTAATAAACAGTTATTTTAAAAGGGCTTTAAAATATAAAAGTAGCTATTAAAGCAGCTAGCTTTACTGCCTAAGCTAGGAAGTACCTGTAGAAATAGATTTTTTCTAGTTAATAAAAAGGTATAAAAAGTTATATATTTATAAGGTTATGTATTTGTAGTAAAACAGTTATATATCCCTATTAATTACTAAAAAAAAATATAAAATTAATAAAATAACTTATATATAAATAAATAAAAAATTAAATAAATAAAAATATTTTATAAAATTAAAAAATATAATTTATTTAAAGATTTATAAGTTTTTAAAAAAGAACTTAAAAAAAATACTTAAGTAATTTTATAAAAATATTATTAGTTTTTGAAAATAAAAATAATAATAGGTTTAAGTTAAATATAAATTAATTAATAGTATTAATAAACTAAAATAGGCTAGTAAAATTAAATATTAATATAATAGCTTAATAAACAGTAGCTTTTACTTTCTTATACTTAATATAATTCAATTCCTTTAAATCTATAATACTTTATAAAACTATATATTTTATTTTTTTATATTATATTTTCTTCTGCTTATAAAAATACTTAACCTTTATATTAATATATTAATACTTTTCTTTAGCTTTTTTAAGTTTATTTTTTAAATAAAAATAATATATAATAATATATTTTAATTACTTTAAAGTTAAACTTTAAATATTATAATATAATTAATTTAACTTAATATACTTTAAATAATAAAAAAATTAATAAAAAATAATAAATATTTTTAATAACTTTTAGAAATATAAAAAAAATAATACTTATTTATTCTATTAGTATTAGTAATAATTAATTTAAATAAAAATTTATAAAAGTCTTAATAAAACTAATAAAAAAAAGTATTATATTATAACCTGCCTTTTATAGTTATAATAATAGGCCTACAGGGTAAGCTAAACTAAATTAATATAAAACTAATTTATTAATTATAATAAATTATTAGATTATTATAATAATTTAATAATTTATAAATATATTATTAAAATTTATAAATAATCTAGCTTAATTAACTAAATATATAAGTTTACTTTTTATACTTATTTAAATAACTTAAATAGCTAGTTATTAATATAGTTTTATATTTATAAATTAAAAAGTACTTTTAATTTTTATTAATAACTATTATTATAATACTATTGCCTATAGGTTTTTTAACCTATCTGCCAATATAAACCTAAAAAACTTATTTTAGGTTTATCCCTTGGGAATCTACTCTATATTAACTATCTAGTATATAGTTTATTATAAACTACTTATAAAATTTTTATATCTTTCTGCTAATATAAACCTGATGTTAAAGTTTATCCTTTAGGAACTAGCTACCCTATACTCGGTATAGGGTTAGAATGTTATACTAAGCTGTTTAATAAGCCTGGCAGTACAAGTAGTAGTCAGGCGACTTTAAAGCAAAATGCAAAAACCAAGAAAAATTTTATTTTATAGTATTATATTAAAAGTCTTTTGTAGGGTTAGCGCTAACCCTACCCTGAAATATAATACCAATTCTAAAATATTAATAACTAAATAAATATTAATAATATATATATATATATATAAATTAAAAAATATAATATTAAAAAATATTAATATAAGCTTTTTATTTAATTTTATATTATTATTATATAATTATAAAAACTTATAATTATATTAAATATTTTTATTATAAAATTATATTAGCTTAATAAATATTAATATTTAAATAAGTAAATTAAATAAAAAATATAAAAAAATAATATAAAAAAATATATTAATATAATATTTTAATAGAATATTTATAATAAATATATTTTAAAACTTAATTATGTTTTTTATATTAATAATTTAATTTTAAATTATTAATATTTTAATAATTATAAAAACTTATATATATTATATAAAGCTTTAAACTTCTTAAATAATAAATCTTTTTTTTATATTTATTAAATATATATTATTAATAAAAAAACCTTTTTTTAATAATAATAATAAATTTTAATTTATTTTTTATATATAAATTTTTTTACTTTTTTTTTTTTTTACTATATATATATTATAATATATTTTAAAAAATATTTATTTTTCATTTAATAAAGTTCTTAAATAATAATTATTAAATAAAAATATATATAATATTAAAATTATAGCTTATTTTTATAAGTAAGTTAATAATTATTAATATTTAAAAAGTATAAGTTTAGGTGGATTTTAGTATATACTACAAGCCTACAAGAGACTTTTAATACCTTACTATATTATAGTATTATTTATGCGCTTGGTGTAAGTCAAATTGGAACCAGCCGTACAATAGTTTTAAAGAAACAAAAGCGCCCTAAGCTGCTGATATATCTGGATTTTATGCTCGACAAATAACTTGGCGACAAGTCCAGACATGATTTCAGTTACACTTTGGATACTTTGGACAAGTTAACATGCAGGTAAACAGGCACATGTCTCCAAATATGTAAACACATATAACACGCTATAGAACTAGTACTATTATTCCTTATATATTATATATATATATTGTTTTTATTGTTTTGTTAAAGAATAACGTTAAGGCTTTTAGCCTAGACGTATATATAAAACTAAAAGTAACTACTTTAAAACGAAAAGAAATTTCTATATAATAAATTGCATTAATACTAATCAACATTGTGCTACCAGGCACTCTATATGCCTGCTATCCTGACTATTGAACAACACTTTGGATTATGTGAACCAGACGTTGTCTAAAGTGCTTCAGGCAGCAGATTCTTCAACCTTCCAGTCTCTTGTAACCGTAATGGCTTTCAACTCCACGTTGGTGTAGTGGTTATCCGCTCTATAAGAGGAATCAAAGGAATTGCCATCTGCCGCAGCAATTGCCCCGCCACCAAATTTAGACCGTCCCATGTGTAGTTGCCTCGTCGAGCTGTCGTCGTCTGGGAGTTCCGAGAACCCCCCCATCTGAGAAGCAGAGTGAGCTCCGGTATTGCTTATAGTATTGCCTCTGGCGTAGCTGCTGGCATCAGCTGTCGATTTATTTCGAGATACTAATGGGCGGAGAAGCGGGATACATGCTGCGGTTACTAGCAGACAGGGTTCCAGTGCACTAAACGCGAGTGCGATACCGCCGGAAAATGGGAAGTCGTTCATGTCGATTTTTACAATCTCGGCAAGTCGGACGGCGCTTACAATGCAGACTCTGTATTTCCATGTGTTAGCTGGCGCAGTCGAAAACAGAAAGTAGGAGTCGACCACTTACGCAAGCCCAATTCCAAAGGTCACCATTAATCCAACCTTCTTGTACATCTGTAGCGTTAGGCCGTAAAGATATGGCATGGGAAGGAGCATAATAACCAGATCAGAGAAGATATTAAGCCCCCCGGTTACGGCCCACAACATCCGGATGTTGCCACAGGTTCCCACGGTTGAGAATTTATCCCAGTTAAACTCAACCGGCGTACAGATAACAAAGGCACCAATAAACAGGACCATGGCCCAGATAATGACGAATACCGCACAGGCTTGACTGATTAGGATAAAGCTCCTAATGGAGAAGATCTTGGTGTACAAGGCGAGAATGGACATTTTCGTTAACCCGAGACTGAGCGACCAGAAGACCACGACCACGGTTACAAGCTTCATGAGAAGGGTGAACGACTCCTGTCCTCCCATCGCAAGGACTTCGCTCGTGTGGTATCCCATCCCCCCCACCACAGCGCAGGCGACTGCAAGTGCTTGATACGCGACTGCTACGATCTAAAGCATTGTATTTGGTTAGAAGACAGTTCCTATAGAGATACAGAACTACTCTAGCGGATAAAAAACTTACACATGCCAATATAATGAGCCAGTCGCTCAGATCAAGAGAGAACTGCTTGAGTCTCGACCGCGCCACTATTCGTAAAACAACAGCAATCACCGGTAGCAATGAGAAAATAACTGCGCTCCCGATTATAGCCTTCTGGCTAGTACGCTCAATTGGGAACACATACACCATGACGGAAATTGCCTGTCTAGAACTTTCTGCTGAAGGTCTGCGGGCGTTGGTTGGTAATCGGAAAATAGTTTAGTAGGTGAACTTGGCTTTTCATGTCTCGAACAATATGTATAAAGTATAAAGTATTCCATAAACATTTATGTTAGGTAAGTATAAGTATAGTAGTTTGTTTGTTTGTTAATTAAAGGAATACCTAAGTATAAGCAAAGTTAAATAATAAAATCAAGTATTTAATATATATAAAATATTTTTTTAGTTAAAAGTATTCTTATTGTTTTTAAATATTTTTCTATTATTCTTTTCTATTATAATATTAATAGAAAACTAATATTATATATATTTTACTTTTAAATAATATAATTAAAATTTAATATTTATTTTAGTAGTATTAGATTTGAATAAAATAAAATATATTTATAAAACCTTTATATACTTTAATAATTAATAAATTTAATTATATATATATAATAAGTTTAAAGAAATAAAACTAATTATAAAAAGTTATAATAGTAAATATAGTTAAGAAAAAAGGTAGAGTAGTATATTGGTTATATTTTCTGAGTTGATTTAAAATTATATATTTATTTTTTTCTTACCTTGTAGTCTTTCTGTTGCTTATAGTAAAATGTTTACAACATTTTGTAGTATATACTAAACCAAAAATATAGTAGTTTACATTAGTCAAGTTTTATAGAGATTAATATCTGTTATTTAACTCAGTGTATTTTGTACTTTTGTTTATAGGATTTATACAGCAGAGGCTTTTAATTCATGTTTATCGGCTGTTCAGCTTCTCCTTAAAGCTATGTAAGGAAATGTTTCCTGCTGTAGTATACAAGTGGTTGGGGCCCTGCTTCTAGTTTCAGTATATTTTAGGTTATTGTACAGAATACCTACTCTATAGACCCTAGGAAACCATTCCTGCTTAGAGGAAAATAAAAACTCCCATGATATCTTATAATACTAGGTATGATATTATTTTTCCCTTTTCATAACAAGAGAAATTTTTCTTAATATAGGTTGTCAAAAGGGGTTGTTAGTTACGTACTAGTTTAAATTAACCAGTAAGCTTACTGGACATCAGTTACCTAAACAGGGAAAGACTTGAATAGAGTTATCTGGGGTGTGACACTTGAACCCAATTACCTACATGGGGCTACTCTTGGGGGTTCCAAATGTCGCAGTCCAGCTCGCTTGCTTGGTTCCCACTACTGGAACTACTACATATCTACAGGAGGCCTATCCGGTGGATAGTTTAATCCCAGCTGCCCAGGAAAGTCCGCAGAGTAGACCTGTCACTATAGGTCTAACAAGGATCGAATAGCAGATAGGCAGCGATCTGCCTGGCTGCAAGACAAGGAAACAGCGGTGAGACAGAATAAAAGGGGGAATGCATAGCCAAGACTCCGTAACCCTTTTTTTATTTCATTTTCTAACAAAACTGTTGGCATAGTAATTATTAGCCCCTGAGGATCTGAGAATATATCCAGGCTCTAGTGTAAGCTTATTGGTCGGGGTTTGAAAACCGTTGGTCTGTCCAGCGAGTTCCGCTATAATATACCCATACACTATCCATTCTTCGACCCACGCATGATCTGATATAAGATAACACTTTGTAAACATGGACTGAGTGCCAAGAGCAGCTAGTATTTGTTGTAGTACTCCGTACTTGGGTCCGGCTTCATGCGGGCAGCGTCTGCGGTAGGAGTGGCTGGGGCAGCGACTCTCTACAGCTAGGTGACGGGCAGAGTGTGGTCTCAACAATAGTGAGGGCAGCTGTGGGAGGTCAGTGTAGTGTAGTGCCTAACTTAGATTGATTGTATATATGGGATAGAGGAGAACAGTTATACTAATTTTTTTTTTTTTTTTAAAAAAAAAAGGAACTCTAAATAAAGTAAGTGCTAGATTTTGGTATAATACTTTATAGCTTTAATGTTAATAAAAATAGACCGTTTTTAAGAAATAATATTCTTAATATTCTTTTGTGCAAAAAAAGTTTCTTTTTTCTCCACACTCTTCAAGAATTTGGTAGATCATAATACAATTATTTTCAGTTGGAAAAAGAATTACATGGTATGGCTAGTGCCTTGTCTGGGAACTTATACTATAACATACTATAACAGGGTGCTGGAGTATTCCCTCCTTTTAACAGGGGTATTCTTTTATGCGCCTCGGGGGGGACTGGTTTAGATCTGCTCCAACACTTCTTATGTAGCAGGTATAAGAACCTTCTGGTCCTGGATGTTTCTATAGGGCTCGAGTTATCGGATGCTGCGTACGTCTACACTGTTTTCTTCATCCCTCAAGGCACGACCTACACCAATCAACAATCTCTCAATCTACATAGCCGTCCACCACGCCGCTCGCCGAGAAATCAACCAGGAAAATTACAATGGCTTTTGGCATCACCAAACCTGAATTTTCCGAAGGCTGCGCTGTGGTCTTTGGCGGCTCGGGCGGCCTTGGCCGCGCAAGCGCTGGCCTAATAGCAGAGCGCGGTTCCAATATCGTTGTTACCTACCGGTCTCGCTCCGCTGAAGCTGAGTCCCTGGTGGAGGAGGTGCGCAAGCTTGGCCGTAAGGCAAGCGCAATAGCCTGTGATATTACTGATCGCAAGGCTGTCGAGGCTGTCTTTAAGCATGCCGTGGACACATATAAGCGCGTTCATACAATAGTGTCTGCTGGCGGCCTTGTGTTTGATACAGGCCCACTAGCGGAATTTAAGGAGGAGTCCTTCCGCGGCGTTATTGAAACCGATGTATATGGCTTTTATAATATTGTGCAGGCTGGAGTGCCAATACTCCGTGAGGGTAAGGGCGGCTCGTTTGTGGCACTGATCACCAGCGCAGTGAGTCGCACCGTGCCGTGCGATGCGCTCTCGGCCACGCCCAAGTCGGCGGTTACAATGATGGTGCGCCAGCTTGCCGTTGAGGAGGCCGCTTACGGTATTCGTGCAAATGCGGTGGGACCTGGCGTTATTAACGCCGGTATGGTGCTGCCAATGATGGAAACGCCGACACGGGCGCTGCTAGAGGGCGCCACCGAAGTGACGCCGCTTAAGCGCTGGGGCGAGGCTGCTGAAATTGCTGAGGCAGTTGCATTCCTGGCCTCATCAAAGGCATCTTATATCACTGGCCAAATCTTGATGGTTGACGGCGGCCTCGCTGCATAATCTAAATAGAACTGGCGTGAATACTAGCTTTACGCAAGGCTTGTTGTGGTATAAATTTAGTCTATATATAACAAGAGGGAAAAAAATTAATAAAATTACAATAAGCTAGACCTACTTAGCAGCTCATTCCCTGTATATGGCTGTGTGACATGTATATGCAAACCTGTTCAGCTTGTACACAGCTTAGCTGGACTTTTTCCCTTGGTTTTGAATTTATTTGAATCTAACAGTACTGTAAACGTTACTTATAACAAGCCCAAAAGAAACAGTGGGAGAATCTTGACGGTGGTCAATATGCAAGAATGGCAGTCCTGATGTAGCCAAATCTAACAAACCATTATAGCCTACCTCCAAGCGGCTCAGTGACCTTTTCACACGGATAATATGGGATGAGATGGATCAAATACATAATATTAGTGCTAGCAGCGCCGGTCATTGAATCTGACTATTTAACCAAGCTTATGCGTAAATGGCGCCCCCCAACCGGAACAAGAGCCAAGACAATGACCACTCTTGCCGCTGGAGCTCGACGAGCTACAGCTTTTGTACGGCCGGTTGGATTTGGAGGCTCCCGAAGCCCTAATGGACAACTCTAGAGGCGATTATACTACCCTCAAGCTACTAGGGTGGAACCTGTAGCAAGAAGCCTTTTGGAGCAGGTCAAGAAATATGATCGACAGCTCAAGCTGTTGCACGGTACAACAAATGGCCAACACACCTGTTTTTGCATCAGCAAACGCCGGCTGGAATGAGAACGATATGGAACAGTGAGATGAAGCTTTGGTGGCAATGCATATTCCCCTCATTACTTCAGCACAGCAATTCTCAAAGACTGCTCTCATCTGCCTAGACTATTGAGAACAGGGGCATCCAATAGGAAATCCGTTCTTCAATCCACATTTGATTGCTCTAGCTGGTAGATCAATCGCTCTAATCCGGTTACCAATAGTACCTATCGTGATGGCGTGAAATGGAATAGCTTATTTCATTCAATGGCCATGTCCATCACCTCCTGATCTTGACTGCGTCTTGAAGAGTAGACGAGATGTTTCCTTTTCCCCAGAGGACATCCGCACGCTCGTCAATGGAAATCTCATTCCCCATACTCAGGCACAGACATTGTTTCTACTTTCTGACGAAGCGTTTAAGGAGATTGGTAGTGACGTCTGGAACTTTTTATTCGAGACGAAACAAGCCGCTCCTACCTCCTTGTGCTACTCAAGCTCCATGTTTTGCCACAAATCACAGTGTTCTACAACTTCATATGGCCAAAGAACGATATTGAAGAGTTATTGACATCTTTTTAGGTTCCAAGCAAAATTAAAGGCAAGGTAAATTATACCTTTTGAGTCATCGGTAAGCGATGGGTAGGTTTCTTCTACCTCTATACAATAGGAATCCAGGCTTAAGGCAACTTACGGGTAATGAACTGAAAAATGTTCTTGTAGAGTACATTTAGTTTTGATACTCAATATTCGATGTTAGAAATAATATTTACCATTCCGTTTATGTACCCGCTTTAAGTTAACTATATTAACTATATATTAATTAGATTAAAATATAATTGCGGCGGAGCTACTAAAGTTATACTACAGTCGAGATTGACTCATATACTATTTGAAGTACCTAACAAAATTATTAGATTAAATAAGAACTTTTGCTCACCCAAATATATCGCGGCCATAAACTTATTTGTGAAAACACTCTGCTCAGGAAATCCCTTCAATTGACTACTGCTCTACCTATATGACTCTTTAATTTGGTTCTTGAGTTCATGCGTAATTGCTCTTCTATCAGGGTAAATATAGCCGAGAGGATGTGGCCTTCACAGCACAAGTCGTGCCTTGGGCAAATATGGCTCTTCGAGGTAATCGATGTCCTCATGGCTCAGCTGAAGCTTGGTCGCTTCAACAGCCTCATCGATCCTCTCCCTCTTGTTAAGGCCGACGATGGGACACATGTTCTTGCTCAGGGACCATGCAATTGCAACTTGAGCCATGGTTTTTCCATTTTTCTTGGCAACCTCCTCAACCCGATTGACAATTTCTTCATCGACCTGATCATTTCTTCCCCGAACTAACAGTTGGAGACCATGGTCTTTCTGCTCCCGAAGAGTATTTCGAGTGCCCCATGGACGGGCCAAGGCACCACGAGCAACAGGCGACCAGGGTATTAGGCCGACACCAGTATTATTGCAGTACGGAATCATTTCGTGTTCTTCTTCCCTGTAGATCAAATTGTGGTAGTTTTGCATCGAGATGAATTTATGCCAGCCATGTCGGTCGGCAATATTTTGGAGCTGTTGGAATTCCCATGCTGCCATACTGGACGCTCCAAGATATCTTACTTTTCCAGATACCACTACATCATTTAGAGCTCGCATACTCTCCTCAAATGGTATTGAACGATCTAGACGATGGATCTGTAATACATCGATGTAGGTTCCAAGTCGTGCAATGGACTGATCGACAGCATCGAGAATATGCTTGCGACTCAAACCTGTTTGATTGAGGAGCTCGCCATCATTGATTATAGTCGAGCCTGGCTGATTAGATGGAGTGTCGGGAGTGACACCAAAAAAGATTTTGGTGAGAATGACGAGCTTTTCTCGTGGAATATTGAACTTCTTAATGGCTTTACCAATAATCTGTTCGGATCGACCGTGAGAATAGAGGTCGGCAGTGTCCCAAGTTCGAATTCCGGATTTGAATGCATATTCCAGAAGAGGAAGTGACTCTTCTTCGTCAAGAACCCAACCTTGCCATTCAGGCGCCCCAAAGCTCATTGCACCACTGTGGACGTTAGCACATAAAATGACACGACCAAATAGCATAGCGTACAGAATGACTCTTGATACCTTGAGGCCGGACCTGCCCAAATATTGATACAGGCCTTTGGTCGCTGGTTCAGTGCTCACTGATACCTGTATAGAGCGGGCTGAATCCTTAACATCATATTTGAAGGAGTCCGACATTTTTATCAGCGTTGAATGTGGATGGTGTGCAAAGAATAAAAAAAAAAAAAAAAAAGATAGCGGTGCTAATTGACTTTGACCGTCTCGAGCGTGGTTTACAATCAGTTCTTTTTTAGCACCAATCATGCAATATATATGCGTGACATTAATTTAAGATTGTGTCTGGACGCCACTAACATCGAGTTTGAGCTTAAACCCGATAGTCAACAACAAATCACGGGGTTAGGCTAAGTCCATGCAATTGGTGCTCAACTGTGGGAATGCCCTGAAAAGGCACTACTTAGCGCAAAGGTATATTTGAGTAATACTTCAGTGTTCCCAGTATAATAATAACAGAAGCTCAGTGGGGGCTTATTGAGAAGCAAAACAGAAGGTTATATGCATAGACGACGCTTTGTAGCCTCCCTCGGAGTAAGGAACGAAACTAGAATAAAAGCGTAACCCTGGTCTAGCAAATTGAGATATACAGAGAATATAAGAAGAGAACGAGATTCTCTTTACGTTATGAAAAATAAAACAACACAAGCTCGCTATGCAAAATGATCCGAGCTGCAGCAGCGGCTTCATTCTTGGGAGAACGAGGGTGTGTCGGATAGATCAAATAATCCCACCCCTTTTTCATACTCTGTGATCTTAAGAGCGGTACGCTAAGCAAGGTTTCCGTGGGACTATTGGCAAGGCTGAGTTTGTATAGGCTTATGACAACAAAGAGCCTCTTCACCCGAATTTGGTTGCTCCTCCCTTTACAGACATGTCTCGCATGAATGGTGTATCTATGACCTTGTCGTCTGAGGAAACATTACATAAATTTTCAAGCTTCTGTCCTTCCAGTGTCAAAGAAGTTCATATCAGTTCGAGTGAGCCATCGTGGATACCGATCCACGTATTTGATGCTTTTATCGCCAGCTTCCAATAATAGAGCAGTAATAAGATTCTTATCCATTTTAGCATATGACTTAGCAGCTAAGAATATAGTTTCTGAATAAAAATATAAACATAAATGCAAGGTCAACATACTTATAATTATTGAATAGCCTGCTATGATGCTTCGTGAAACAGCATAGAACAGGATAATATGGATTCAGGGTGGCCTACCTGCAAATGATAATTTAGCAAAGCGACCGAGTCAGTTTTCCGAGAATATTAAGCGGAGAGATAATTATGAGAAATTGATTTCCCTTTCCCGCTTTACTGGCCAGACTGAATACGATACAATCTCGATGCCGCTAAAATCGTCCCTGGTGCTGGTTTCTGACCGCTACATGCGTGTATAGTTAGTGTTATTCCCCTAAGACTTACCTAGCGGTTAGCTGCTATGCGGTACAACCTTATCCCCCTCTACAACGCTTGCATTGCCTATACAGAAGGTACGAAGTTAGTGCGTGAGGATATGTGGCTAGATATAGAGAATAATATATATCTATTAATACTCTCATGGTATTAAATAATTATAATTACCCTCTATAGGTTCAATTAATATTCATATACTATGATAAATACTAAATATTATACATGAATATCTTGCTGGAAAATAGAAGCCAATTTTGAAGTAGTGCCGCATACGGAAGGCGGTGAAGGCGGTCTTGCGGGGTCGTTATTAGTACAATTTCGGAACTACTGGCTACCATAGCTGGTTTGACAGATATATATCCTGTTTCAGGTCAGCTATTTTATTCAATTATCGTGCATCAGTATTAGGGCCCGATTTAAATTATGGCAGACCAAATATCCTCGAACACTGAAACAGCCCCTATTAGAGACTTGTCACCACCTTCGTTGCCCAGGGCCAAACGACGGAAGACGCAGCAAGCATGTAGTAATTGCCGGGGCCGGAAGACCAAGTGTGACGGGCAATATCCCATCTGCGCTGCCTGCGAGAGACGAGGGGTAGCCATGACCTGCATCTATGAGCGTGTGCAACCTGCTTCACATTCACAAAGGTAATTGAAACGCGTGTATCCCTGCTATGTTACTGATTGTATGTCTAGGTATGCAGATCTGGAAAGCCGATTACACAGATTGGAGCAAGGCGAGAACGGCGAGCGGTCGAGCGTGTCGTGTGAGTACAGACAGGCCTTTTCTATTCACTTTTGCAACCTTTTAAAAGTGGGCTATGCGGCTTCCCTGCTTTTGATGACTAAGATGAGTATCATCAGGTGAAACCAGGCCAGTGGATGTTCGAAGTTTGCAGTCTCCTCGCTTTGGCCCAGATATAACCCTGGTAGATGACGATTCTTCGCCATCAAGAAACGCGAGCGGCATTGCTGGCCACAAAGATTCTCCTCATAATCGTGCCCATCAGCCAGTCGATGCTTTGGCCACTGTTATTTCCGATGATAACGGCAATTGTGTTTATGGCGAGTCTTCTACTATCGCCTTCGTACGAGAATTTACTCAAAAAGATCCGTCGGATAGTACTACGGAGCAGAATAAACATCACGCTGGCCAGACCGCCCACGAATGCGCTCGGATGGAATCACCTGCTTTGCTTGCTCCGCTTGATATATCTCCAGGAAATAGAGATAATCTTGCTATTCTCCCTCTTCGAAGCAATGCAGACGATTTTCTACGTTGTTATTTCGAGTTTATTCATCCACTCTTTCCGCTACTGCACAAAGGCTCGTTTACTTCACGATATAACCGACTATGGCTCCCCTGCGACAATTCACGGTCGGGCAAGGAAGATATAGTATTCATGTGCAATATGAATCTTGTCTTTGCTCTGGGGTGCCAATTTAGTGACCTAGCTCATCCAAGTCACAGAGCTTCAGTCGCAAATGAATTTTATAAAATGTCTCGACAAGTATTGCTCTATGATATTTTGGGTTCAACCTCGGTGTCTGTGGTACAGTGGCTCCTTTTGAGCGGAGTATATCTCCAATCAACCAGCTATGCAAGTCACTGCTGGAACTCAATAGGACTAGCTATTCGCCTTGCACAAAGTCTGGGACTACATCTAGAATACCCGGAATCGAAATCGGAAAACCAGCTTAGCCGAGAGATGAGACGGAGAATCTGGCATACCTGTGTTGTTCTGGATAAGTGTGTTTCTATTCTCTTTAACCTTATCTCCCTTCGTCGAGTAAATATTCTTTCCTGCTAATTATGAGAAGACTGCTAGCTATGACTTTCGGCCGTCCAACTATGGTTAATGGATCTTATGGTACTCCAATGCCTTCCTTAATCGATGATGAATATCTATGCACAGATGGCGAAGGTATCCAACCGAAAGGAGTGAATTCGCGAATGGGTCTATTTGTGTATTCTTGCAGGCTCTTCGAAATTCTGAAGGATATATTATCATCGTTTTATGCGGTCGACGCTTCTTCAGAGCCTATCTGCGAATCTCGCTTGCATAGTATGGTGTCAGAAGTGCTAAACTTCAACCGCCGCTTAGACGACTTTATTACTTCATTACCTAACTACCTTAAGACAGCAAAAAGCTCCCCAGTGAATATGTCGGAGAGAAATAGCTGTACGAATCTTCAGCAACAAGTCCTTTATTGCCGGTAAGATTTGTAAGTCTAGACTGTTTTGTTGAATGTAGCGCTAACTTTATAGATTCCTGTATACTAAACTGTTATCTTTACGACCCTTGCTGCTCGTAGCGATAAAGCGAGCCCCGAAACATGCCTCAGTAACATCGATAGAGGAAAATTTATCATTACTAGATGATCATATCATAAGCCGTTATTGCGATCTTTGCATTAACACAGCGCATCGCCTAATTGAGGCAATTTTTGATCATCTTGATACCGCTTACAAAAGCTTCGGTTGGCATTCAGTTTATTGTATGGCTAACTATTATTAAAGTCGACATGTATCACGAGACTAATTTCTGACAGTTACATTTGCCGCTGCTAGTATTCTACTCGCCTCATTGAGACTTCCAGATGTTGGAGTTGAGTCTACGACAACTTTTGAAATGTCGTGGAATCGCTCTTTATCAATATTAAACTATTACAAGGGGAGCATCCATACTGCTTCACGTGCGATACAAGTTTTGGAAGCCCTGCGATGTCAAACCCATGAAGCAGAGCCCCAAGGTCAGCTAAAACCTCTATAGTGTTCCCGTTTATTTTCCATGCTAATTACCTCTAAAGAGACTGAAGTCCATAGCTCCATCGCAGATACGCATGTCAATAATGAGCAAATGAAACCACAAATATCTTTGGAATCTACCAACCAGCTCGACTTCAGCCAGTTCAATCCATATGGAACTTATAGTCTGTATGATGCTTGGTTCGGTCAGCACCTCATCAACTTAGGTGCCCTAGATATGGGTTGAATGCGCCTTGGAGAGGCTATAGCGGCTGTTGAGATTTCATTGGCCTATGTTCAGTTTTGGAATGTATGAGCAGGTTTCGGAAGTACACGCTATGCTGAGATCTTTCCGTGCCACCGGAAAGGATTTACCGGAAGTTTATAAAAGTCTTTGAAAGGTAAGGACAGATGGTTGAAAATACCGATATTGATCTGTCCTTGGATATATCCCTGATGATTGTCCGATCTACTCTATACATGAGCTGTGGAGAGTTAAGTACTTTTAGTCTCCGCCATTGGTGTTAAAAATTTTATGATAAAATTTTACCTCATTGCCACTATAAAGATATAATTATTCCATTTACTTTTTTTAAGTTTCAAAAATTGTCTGAGGGTAAAGTGCATTGTTATAACCAAGGTTGGCTGGACTTTGATAACCTGTTCCCTTACCCCTCGCTTCAGCCTACAATATGCCTGTACTCCGCACTGCCCTGCCCGCACGATTGCGGTCCTCGTCTAGTAGGTGTGGGAGGTGGAGTTAAATCGGAAGCAGGGTTCGGTATCGCTAGTGTCAGAAGTGGAGTGAAGTTGGACGCAGGGTTCGGCATCGGGACGCTTTCCGAGGACCGGTATTTGCGACGGATAGAAAAGGTGCTGATTACCGTGATGTCGGAATCGCACAGTGTCGTGTGCTTCGGATCCCGATTTTCGGGACTCCCGAACCATACGGCACGCTATGAATTGCGATGTAGACAGTCTTTCATGTGTCTTGTCGACATGGCCCCACCATGTAACTACACGAAAAGGCTGCTAGGGTTGGTTTCGAGCTATAAATCGACTGATCTCGAGCAAGGGCATCTACATGTAGATGTTCTATCTAGAAGAGATTGCAAGAACCCATACTTTCACATCAGATCTTGCTCATATCTCCGTCTGTCTTCGTTGCGCCCAACAACTATCTACCAGCCCATTCCCTTCACACCCACCTTCCATATGTCGCCAGTAAAGGACTTCGACGTAGCAATCGTTGGCGGTGGAATTGCGGGGCTAACATTGGCGATTGCTCTTAACTCTCGGTCTATCCCCGTCACTCTCTATGAGCAGGCGCGCTCATTTGGAGAGATTGGAGCGGGTGTCTCATTCAGCCCCAATGCTGTCCAGGCAATGAAAGTATGCCACCAGGGCATTTACGAAGCATTTGAAACAGTATGCACTAGAAACATGTGGCCGTCCAAGGAGAAAGTCTGGTTCGATTATGTGGATGCATACAGCGATGTAATGTCCAACGGTGTTCTTGATACGGCGTTCACGATTTCGAGTAATCTCGGTCAGAATGGCGTACATCGTGCCCATTTTTTGGACGAGGCAGTCAAACTCATCCCTAACCAACTTGCGAGGTTTGGTAAACGACTTCAAAATATCAGCGAAGATCGCAACGGTAGACTCGTGATGCATTTCGACGACGGCACTGTAGCGGAGGCTGACGCGATCATTGGCTGTGATGGGATCAAGTCTCGGGTGCGTCAGACCATAGTTGGCCCTGATCATCCATCTGCTCGGCCTGTTTATACACACAAATATGCGTTCAGGGGGCTCATTCCGATGGAGGATGCGTGTGCCGCTGTTGGTGAAGAGCGAGCTCAGAATGCTTGCATGTATGTGAGTGCTCTGCTTCCCTTTGCAATTACGGATTGAGCTAATGCTGCTAGATGGGCTATGACAAACACGTCCTAACCTTCCCAGTGAACCACGGAAAGACCCTTAATTTGGTTGCTTTCAGAACCACCATGGAGGACTGGCCCGATGCCCAGAGATTAACCAGACCAGGCCAAAGGGACGAGCTTTTGCACGAATTCGAAGATTATGGACCAGCAATTATCAAGTTATTGAAGTTAATTGGCCCAAAACTTGATGTAGTAAGTAACTCGTCATTAATCTACATCTTATCACTAAAAAGAGGCAGTGGGCGATATTTGACCTCGGCTACCCTGTTCCAACCCTTTATAAAGGCCGCATCTGCATCTCAGGTGATGCTGCTCACGCTACTTCTCCTCACCATGGCGCAGGGGCCGGTTTTTGCATTGAGGATAGTGCGATGTTAGCGGAGCTGCTCGCAGATGAGCAAGTTAAGTCACGGCATGAATTGGAGGCCGTCTTTGCTACATTTGATGCAGAGAGACGATCAAGGGCGCAGTGGTTGGTAGACAGCAGTCGGTGGATTGGGGACTGTTACGAATTGCGTGCAGAAGGGATCGGAAATGACTTTACTAAGATTGAGGCTGAAATCAAGGAAAGGAATGGGATTATTGCTAATGTAAACATAGAAGAGATGTGCGCGAGGGCTAAGGACGAGTTGCGAAAGAGGCTGTCAGGAGGTAGAGGATTGTAAATTGGCAGTACAACTGCACTCAAGCTACGCATAGAACAGTGGATAGCTATATTATCTATTATGGTAACGGAACTAGTTGTTTATCAGGGATTTAATCTGTTACGAAGAGCCAGGTTGTAACAAAAACCCTGTACACCTAAGAATTACTCGATATAGCGCCAATTTAGGGCTAGACATAAATATATATGTATTATTATACCTACATGTAAAAAACTACATTTGCTGCCATCAACCCCCGCCAACATTGGATCGGCTCCGACAAGAACAATCTATTTAATAAGAAGTTGCTCACCGACACGACATTACCCCTTTAGAGAAACTATAGAGAGTATATTTGCAATAAAACCTACAATGCCATGTCCATTTGCGGCCCCTATTTCGGCATTTCGCTACATGGTGCTGTTAACCATTTCGCGTATGAAATTTCGATACTTGTTAACTCGCGCAGATATGGAGTTTAAACCGGGAGGAGAATTATCATTTGGGGGTGGGATGTAGCTAGGAAGGACAATCATCATTTGAGTTATAGGTCAACGGAATAAGGTCATTAACAAATTGCAGGCCAAAATCTCTAATCCCGAGCTAAAAAATCAGCACCCAGAAGACCAGCCATATCCTCTGCAATGAAATCTTTGAGTTTCTTTCCTGTGACTTTGCGGATGACTTGGCCTATCAAAAACCCACGGGTGAAAGGATGGTAGTCAGATGCAGTTCCCGAAGTCCACCAAGGCGCCTGGGCCTCTAGCAGAGTAACTGCCTGATCAAAGTCGCAAATATCAGCTAACGTGACTGGCTTCTCCCATCTTGGAACACCAGCCGTATGGGAGATGATGTCCCTAATCCTCACGTCTTGCTTCCCATACACAGAAAACTCTGGCCAATAGGTGGCAATTTTTTCGTTTGGGCTTATAATGCCCCTATCAATGAGTATGAGTGCTGCAAGGCCAGTAATAGTCTTGGTGATGGTGAAAACGTTTACGAAAGTCTCTTTCACCCAACAATGGGACCCACTCTCATTGGAATGACCGCCCCAGATGTCGGCTACATTCTTGCCACCTATATGAACAACTATTGAGGCTCCGAACTCATCCCTAATAGAGATGTGTTCAATCAACAAGTCGCCAGAAATGCTCAAGGACGGTTGGTGAGATCCTTGCACAAGATAGCCCATCTTTGCGAAAACAGGGGATGGAGAAGTAAGGGAGAGTTAACGGTTCGAAAGGAGTAGTGGGCTAGAAGATGTTGTACTTTGTAACTGGCCGCTGAGCGGAGTCCTTTATATTTTTTTGGAGAAAGAGTACGCAATCCTCATTGACGGTATCGATGCTAGCAAACGAGTTTGTCGATCACGGGCAGTTTAATGCGACTCGCTCTCAACCATATTCCGAGGAAGACCACCACAAATTATTAATAATTCATTGCTTGAAGTAAATAACACCTTTAGGCTCTTCAAGGCTCTAGGTAAAACAAAATCTAAAATTGCTAAGCCTTAGTGACTACGGATCATCGGGATCATCGGCCCGACCGCCTACGTTAAACATGAGTCCACTATTCTTCTGGTTGGCTGTAGGGCAATTCCGAGCGCAGGTAACGGGCGAGATAAAGGTTTCACAGACTTGTAGTACTTGCGTGGGGACAAGAGAAGAGGAATTATGAATATCTTTGCCCGAGAACCCCCTTCGGAAAGCCCCAAGACAAAGACTAGAACCTCGGTAGTAGGTAGGCACAGAGTATTTTATCGATCATGGGCAAAGGGCGGCTTGTACTAATGGTCCCATTTCTAAGGCCGCATTGTGCAGCGGATACGTAGAGAGCATTAACAAACGAAGAGTTCTAAAGCGGCAAACAACGGCCTTCAGTAAACCGGTATCAACTTACAGGTGCACAATATATTATCGTGTAAATTGAAGTTCTTGGTGCTCCGATACAGCCATCCCGTTCTATTTAATTTTCTCTTCCCCTCATAAATTTAATGATAAACACCACTCGATAGATGGTAGCACGGCTTTATCGTTCTTTTGCCACCCTTCTCTACGCCAGATCTTGCCCAGTAATGGAGCAGATCAAGACAAGACGGTATTGTTGCCAATGAGTTACTAGGCTTCGCTTTAATAGATTCCGTAGTCTTAGAAATACACTTTAACGTATTCACCTGATCTAGGATTAGGTGAAGCCCTCCAGGTCTCCCAAAAGGCTGCCCCATTTTCTGCGCCTAATGTCCGCGTTGGCGTAGCAAAATTTGTAGTCTTCCAAATTTTTCAGGAATTTCGACTCCGTTACATTGTCACAGATGCTACTCATCATGGTCTTGTCGACAAGGTACTCGGTCATGTTGTCTAATGAGACTTGCGGAATCGGCGCCTCGACGACGGCGCCCATAAATAGGCGGGACGTGCTGCTTTCGCTATTTAGCAGGTTGTAGAAGTCGCTGACTGGTCCGGAGGACTTAGAGTCTGACGGTTCTTTGTCTGTTTGATCTGTGATGAAAATTCCTCAGCGAGACAATTAGAAAGGGTATCCGGTTCACGTACACCGTCCCCAGGGGCCTTGAGTGACATTTTTGCATGCGAGTGTCGACTTCCATATGCTGCTAGAGTATCAGGACCGTCGAATCTATCGGTTTGCTGAGACGCATTGGCTTGGCGTAGATATCACTGATGGTGGCGCCTTGAGGCTCGGGGGCCGTCTTAGCGTTGACCGTGATCGACTGCACTGCTAATTGGCACTTGATAGTGGACTGGAACACGCCGCTGCGTACGAGCCAGGTGTCGATGACTTTTCTATCTTTGTCTCTGTCTAAGAAGAGACCCTTGCCATTAATTTTATTAGCCTTATTGTCTTTCTCAGTTTCTGGAACGAGGAGACCTTTATTGTAAGAGAAGAGGTGAGAGGCTTTCTCACCAACCCCGATACTTTTGGCGGAGCTACTTTCTGCCGGGGCGACCAAGCTCCAGAAAGCTTGGGGCGCGATACTTGGAGGCTACTCTGCTCCAGCTGTATCACCAAAGGCGATATGGAAGTCAAACGACCAAAAGTTAACGTGAACAATACCTCATAGCGGTGGACCTACGAGGGAGAGGCTGGCACCGATTTCCACGGCGATCAGGACAGTGACTAACCGTATGTCCATGGAGTATCGCACGCCGACGAACACATTCACGTCTCCAATAAAATGAAATAAAGAGTATATCGCGAGAACCCATCGGCCGCGTTGAAGCAGACGTGTAAGACACTGAGAGACAAGACAGCTCTAATGTGGAGACCATCCGTAAACACCTTAGGGGGTGACAGCAAAGGAAGCGTCGGCTATAACACTCAGGTAACTGCCAATCGACCAGCTTATGCGTAGTCGGTCAGGTTGGGTAATGCGCCAGCGCTGTAGTAGATACCTATGTGTGAAAAGGCTACATATGCTGATCCAACATTTACATCTTCATCAGCCAATCAACATACAAAGCGAACCTTGCAAGTGGTTGTGCACCTCCTACTCATTTCTAGAGCAACTCAACGAGGCTTTCAGCCTGAGAAAATGTTGAACCTGTAGGTTGTCTTTTTGCTCCTGGCATTTTATCTGGCAATGCTAGCTGTCTATCGGCTATATTTCAGGCCGTTGGTAACGATTCCGGGCTACAAGCTCACCGGCAGCCCTTACTCTTTGGTATGGTGCATATCACAACTTTTGAGGGGTAGGCAGTACGTCTAGGTGGTCGAAGAGACGCACCGCAAATTTCCCATAGTGCACACTCGACAAGATGCAGTACATATTGATGACCCTGCTTTCATCGACGATATATACCCGGAATCCTCCCAACGGCACCGCGAAAATTTTCACACACTGGTGAAGCTCCTACTGACTCCTGGTTCAATATCTGGTACAGCGGACAATGAATTCCACAGACGTCGGCGGGCTGTCCTGAAACGATATTTTTCCCGACAGAGTGCTCGGCGTCTCGAGCCGCCTATCAACGATACACTCGGGACGCTATTTGAGAGGCTGAAAGAGTGGGCTAGGGAAGGGAAGACCAGTGCATATGAACGTCGTATTCCGCGGCGCAGCTAAAGTTATCATCTAGAAATACGTATTTGGAGGAGGCCAGAGCTGTCTAGAAATGGAAGATTGCAACGCCCCTTTTTCAACGTGTTCGAGCCTCACAGAGTAACCCACTTGGGCACTCATATGCCTCGGCTAGCAAATATATTAAAGAAGATACCACCGGCACTTTTGACTATCCTTGTCCCGCGGATAGGTGTATTTGAACTGTTCATACAGGTACTTGGTGCTCTCATTGGCTTTCAATCAGTCTTTGGAGGGTACCGACGGATGCGTAAGACCTCGATGGCACAACCGAAATCTTTCGCAATTCGAAGAAATGCCTGAAGGGCGGACTATCTTTCATGAGATAATTCGAAGCAATAGTCTTCGCGAGAAGGAAAAGGAAACAAAACGCATTACAGACGAAGCCATGGTAATTCTATCTGCTGGAACTGGCACGATGGCCCTCAAAGTTGGCTGCTATAATGGGCCACATGCTGATTAACCGCAACTCTCTAACCCGCCTAAAAAGAAACTAGGGGCCATAATACCTAATCCGCAGCAGCTGCCAGCAGCGTCAAAGTTTGAAAAGATCCCTTATCTTAATGCCGTTATTGACGAGGCTCTTCATCTCTATCCAAGCGCCACACATCGCCAAGATCGAGCTGCGCCGGACGAGGACTTGGTCTACAGAGATGTAGAAAGTGGACGATCCTTCGTTATCCCGGCTGGCACGGGAGTAGGGATGGCGGCACTCATCGTTAAATGATATCCTACTATATATCGCCTCCAAATGGGTTTCTACCTGACCGTTTTATCGAAGACCCTAAATTGTCGAGGTATCTGATTCGTTCTCTAAAGGTATGCGGAGGGGTCTCTTGGCATGCGTCTGGCGTATCAGGAGATGCAGATGTTTTGTCGCAGGCATCTTCCGTCAGTATGACGTGTACGACCAGTCAAAGCCGACGGCAGCTCGGACTGACGTGGGAGTTGTACGAAACAAATGAGCAAGATATTTCTATGTTTGAAGATTACGTCACGCCAGCTCCATTTGATGGCAGCAAAGGGCTGAGAATTGTGATACGTCAGTGGGGTTCCAGCATCCGTATCATTGCACCGTTTCCTTAACTTCACTGAGACACAGTGGACACACTTTCACGGTTCAGAGACCTCGGAGTGGAGAGAAGACCATGAGTATCAAGTCGCTTGCTCATATAGAAAGCGAACATTATAGAGAATCTCTATTACTAAAAGGTAATCTTTTTTTTTTTTTGTATAAGAAACCAGCCATACAGCCATTGATATAGAAAATCAAAAGGCACTCGACGACTGATGCAAATATAAACTAAAATGAATATACATTAATAAAAATTGCAATTTTTGTACTTTCCTTTACTATCTGAAAATTACTGTCCTTGTTTTGCAGTATTGTAACTTTGCATAAGACACCAGTAACCTGGAACATGATCGCCCCAGATGGATCCGAATCCTTCGATATCTCGGCGCCAATCTCTATGTAGCTCAGCTGCTACAGCTACCCAGTTGAGCAGCTGAACTCCTTGCTGCGCCATACGTTTATGTGCAGCCTCACGAGTGTGCTCAGCGAACGTTCCCGAGGCATCCGTAACTACAAAAACTTCATATCCCTGCTCGATTAAAGACAGTGCTGGAAAAGAAACACAAATTTCTGTCAAAACGCCACTACATCATTCATGTAAACGAGAGATTCAGAGTAAGTAACTTCCGGGAAAGCATACCTAACTATAACTTGTTTCTTGCCAGACTTCTTCACTAGGTCGGCAAATTCCTCGTTGTCCATTGCATTAATTTGACCAGGCCGCCGAATCACCGGAGCCTCAGGCAAAGTTTCAGGTAGTTCTTTTACAATAGGACCGTTGGGTCCAGTTTCAAAAGACGTAGTCAAAATAGATGGAGCTCCAAAATACTTAGCTACCTTGGCCAGAGCAAGGACATTGTTGCGGAATTCATCGGGGTTGAAGTCTCGAACGAGCTGAATAAGGCCGGCCTTCAAAACTATATCAATTCCGTCCGACGAGAAAGCTTTAGGTCAGGGTTAACACACCTGGTGGTCTACAAAGAGGAAGATGCAGTCATCTCTGTCAAGACGCTTATATTTTGTGGTAGCCATCTTGTGTAAGATTTTGAATAGAAGATGTTTAGGGTACGGATTTCGTGCAAGGGCTTAAAAATGCAAGAAACTTTCATTGACAACCATTTGAGGACCGTTGTTTTATATGTGAACAATATCTGTTGCCTGAGCACAAGTTCCACAATAATACCAGAGTATCACCTAGCGGTTATAAACGTAAGTATTATATAATAACTTATTATACCAGCTATAGTCCCGTACACTAGGTGTGTTTTTGTATATCCAAGCCCGCTTTCTTGCCCGAATAGGAATATTGCGTCCCTGCATTCCACCTTAGACTTTGAAGCAGATAAGATTCTGAAGTTTAACCTGTTGGCCAAACCCTCGAGTGACGTAGAGTTTCGCTGCTCAGATGTCTTTAAAAAAGTCAAACCCCGCTATTGACATCCTATAGGGACAATCATTGTCAGCTCCCATTAGTAAAGAGTATAGTCTCCGGAAGCTTCTTGCTTTAACCGATCGTTGCAAAGAGAACATCAAATCCTAGACTGCCAGTCATTGCTTATTCTTTTCCTGTAGAAAAACATGGAACGCTCAATTTATAGCCTACCAGCATACTCACAGCGGACTCCAGCGTTGGTCCACAGAGCTCAGAGGCGTTGTACGAGAATACGAGGCGGCGTCGGCGCCCAGCCAATCGCAGGGATTGGCCAGCGAAGAAGCTTTAAAGGCTTTAAGGTTATAGCAGGCTTGTAAATTAGTTACTGATTTCGTTACTAAAAACGAATTTCTTAGTAACAAAACTAATTTTGTTTTTTTTTTTTTCATTTTTTGTTTTTTATTAGTATTAGTTTTTTATTAGTAAATTAGTTACTAAAAAAAAAAAAAAAAGACAATACAAATTAGTTACGATATTAAAAATAAAAATAATATAAATAAATAATATATATTTTAATTATTTAATATTATTATTATTTATATATTTAATTTTTAATATATAAAGTATATAAATTATTTTATTAAAAAAAAAACAAATCTTATATATAAAAAACAAATTTTGGTAGCGGCATATTTAGTTATAATTATGAATTGATTTTGGCCTTTTGTTGTTCCAACAGCAGCCAGACAATAGATGTATAGCCCCTAGAGATAGCCTGTGATAGCGGTGTTCTGCCATAGTTATCTCTCGAATCAATTTCGACCTTTCCCGTATCTAGTAGCAGCTCGACAACTGAATCACATCCTATCGATACGGCATATGATAGCGGTGTCCGGCTATATTTATCCTTCGAATCGACGTCAACCTTTCCCGTGTATAGTAACATTTTCACAATCGACTCGTGCCCCTTTGATGCAGCTTGTGATAGCGGTGTTCGGCCATCACTATCCTTCGAATCGGGCTCGACCTTTCCCGAATCTAACAAAAGCTTAACAATAGATGCAAACCCCCCAGCGACAGCCAGTAACAGGGCGCTTTGTCCTTTTTTTGTTTCTTCATCTTCATCAGGCGCGTAGAAAGAGAGCAGAATCCTTGTTACTCCCTCATGTCCATTCTCTGCCGATAGTAATAACGCCTCGCTACCACAACGCACCGTAGTCAAGCGCTTTCTTAGCTGTTCGTTCTTGGCCACAGATAGCAGACCATTTAAGTGCTGAGTTATTAGAATACTGGATATTCCGAAGATATAGAAGGTGGTTAAGGCAAGAAAAAAATCGCCAGTTAGTTCGAGCTAGTGCGTTGATATCTCTCTCAAACTCCAGCTCCGCAGCAATAGCTGGGAAAAGTTCGTTCGGTAAATGCAACATTATGTGTAGTTGTAGGCTTGTAGATTGCGACTTAGTTTACTAACCAGTGTTCAAGTGCCGTTTAATTCATCTCAGTTCAGTGTTCTACTGCACTATAAGCACCTTTGGACTTAAATGACAGGCAAGGAGGGGCAGTGGGATCCATATCAGGTGACTCCGGACCTACTGGTGGGTTAAGTGGTAGGGGAGCCCAACAGCGCTTCCTTACTATCAACTTCCACTCAGCCTACATCGACAGAAACTACTCATACTAGAAAAGGCATGAACGGCGAGAACGAAAATTCGAAATAAACCGCAACGAATATCTTGTTTTTACGCGTTCAAAAGGCAAGTCAGCAGATTTTGTTAATAAAAAAGCCAATTCAATCACACATAAGATTGCGGCAAAATCGCAGCTTAATGTAGGTATGTACTCTAACAAATTAGATTGTAAGGAACGGCAAATACGTCCATTGCATATTGGGCTACGGACCAATACTAATGATATTTTTATAACCAATAGGAAGCCACACAAGATAGCAAGACTCAGCACGCGTATTAATTAACATATGCTGTCAATTTCAACATATAAGGACTACAAGTATGAACTGTTATCTAGGTAGGCCATAAGACAAATCACTTCCGATACCCACCCGAGCTCCACTTCGTTTAAAATAACAATCCCCAAATCGTATTATGACAACTAGCAACAGCTCACCTAATGCTATTAATACTAATCATGACATCATCTTCCAAATGGAGAGCAATGTAATCTTTCCAACGTAGCGGATATTGGTCTGCATTATGCAAGCTCATGTCGAAGCGGCGAAAAAGGTTCCCTAGGAAGACATATGCCTCCATATAAGAAAGATTCATGCCAACGGACGTGGCCCCTTGCCGAAAGGAATCGAATTTGTCTTAGATGTCTGTGTATTGTTCCCTAACTATCTTTCTGGCATGAAGACGTCGGGCTTAGGGAAAAGGTCAGGATTGTAGTGTATTATATGTTGTGCTGTCGAGACAGATATTTAAGTAAATATCAGATCTTCTCCATGTTCAAGTATTAACTAAGTAACTAGCACTTATAAACTTTATTAATTTTAAGTAAAATATAAAAATATTCTATAGTAAATATATACTTTACTAATATAAACCTAATATTAAAGTTTATTTTTTAGGAATTAGTTACTTTATACTAGGTGTAAGAATTAGAATATTATAATATATATATATAATTATTTTTATAATAAATAAATTAAATAATATATAATTTTTTAAATTTTAAAATAATTAAATTATTTTTATTAAATAATATAATTAATTTAAATTAATTATAGTTATAAAGTTTCTAAATATATATTATATAATAATTATAATTTTTAATATTTTTAAAAATTAAATTATTTATTTATATATATATATATTTTTATTTATATTTATTATATTAAAAAAATAAAAAATTTAAATATTAAATAATAATTTATATTATAAAATAATAATAATATATATATTTTTTTTTATTTTTATTATAACCTAACTATTATAGTTATAATAATAGGCCTACAGGGTAAGCAAATCTAGATTAATTGTTATAACCTGACTCTTATAGTTACAACAATAGGCCTACCGGGTAGGCACAGCCGGATTAACTATAATCCAATAAGCCAATTAGAAGTAGATCGAGGACTTGTTTATTAATCTAATACAAGATTAATAAGTAGTATATTAATCTCTAAAAGGATTAACAGTTATTCCTTTAATTCTGTTTAAATTAATAAAATATATAAGTTTATTTCTTAATATTTATTTAAATAACTTAAATAGCTAGTTATTAATATAATTTTATATTTATAAATTAAAAAATACTTTTAATTTTTACTACTAACTATTATTATAATATTATTATTTATAAGTTTTTTAACTTATTTAATAATATAAACCTAAAGAACTTATTTTAGGTTTATCTTTTAAAAGTTTACCCTATATTAATTATTTAATATATAGTTTATTATATATTAATAACTTTTATTTAAATAGTTACTAGATTTATAGGTAATATTAAAATAAATAACTTTTAAGACTTTATTAAAGCTATAGATTAATTTAGTATAAAAAAGTAAATATAACACCAGGCGCTTTTATTAATTCTATAAGACTTTATAAACTATTTAATTATTTTTAAATAATTAATTTATTAATTAAAAATATAAAAAATTAATAATATATAAACTATTAATATTTTATAATAATAGCTTGCTATATTTTATAATTTACTAGTAATACTATAAGCTATAGCACCTGCTGTAATTATATCTATAATATAATCTATTAAAGTAATTAAAAAATAACCTAAAGAAATCCTTAGGCTTTTTTACTTTAATAAATTTAATAAAAACCTAGTTAAATTATATAAGTTTTTTAATAATCTTTAAATATATTTTAAATATTATTTTTTAAATTTTTTTATATTTATTAAATTATTTAAATATATTTAATATATAAGAATTTAAATAAATAAAGCAGCAGGAGATTAAATTAAAGTAATTTTAAAAAATTATTAAAAAAATACTTTTAATAAATAAAAAACTTAAACTATAGCTATTTTTATTAATTATAATAATTTTAAAAAAAAATTAAAAAAGTCTTTTAAAATTATTAATAAAACCTAAAAAGTTAAAAAAAAAACTTAAAAATCTTAAATAAAAAAAGCTATATTACTAGTATACTTTAATATTCCTTTAGCTATTTATTAAAGTAAATTAAACTAAAGATTTAAAAAAAGAAATTTATTATTATAGTTTAAAACCTAAAGTTAAAAATAAAATTTATAAAATAAATTAATAAAAAACTAGTTTTATTAACTTTATTTAAAAAGTTATTAAAATTAATAATTAATAATAAAAAAATAATAAAAATAAAAAACTAAAAGAAATAGTACTATAATTAAATTTTATTTATAAGTTAATTAAAAAAAGAAAAAAAATAAATATATTATAAAAAATAATAAAACTTAATTAAATAAAATAAACTTAAATATTATTAAAGGTATTAAGTTTAAAAAAAAATATAACTTTTATAGTAAAATAAACTATAAAAAAGTTTATTATTATTTTAAAAAAAAATAAAAAAAAATAAAAAAAATCTTAAATAAAAAAATAAAGTAATAATTAATATTATAAAAAAAAGTATATAAATAAATACTATTATTAAAATACTTTATATTAGCTTTAGTTAAACTACTTGCTATAATAATATATACTTTATATATAAAAATAATAAATATAAATTAAGCTATTATTTAAAAAAGCTAAAAAAATAAAACCTTAAAAAAAAGTTAAAATTAATACTTTAACTTTTTATAAATTATTTAATAATAAAAAATTAAACTTTAGTATAAAATTAATTTATAAATACTATAGATTTATTAACTTTATTTATAAAAATAATAATAAATAAATAATAATTTAAAAAAAATACTATAATTATAATAATTATTATTTATAAAATTTTAATTATAAATATTAAAGATATTTAAATTATAGATTTATAAAAAATATTAATATAGTTATAAAGGGGAATAGTAATAAAATATAAAAGCTATATATAAGCTTTTTAAAAAAAATAAATTAGCAAAGGAATATTTTAAAATATAAATCTTTAAGCTAAAGTTAAAATATTTAATTTACAGTAAACTATTTATAAAAAAATACTATTACTTTAAAAATAACCTATATATTATATATAAAAAAATAAATTATATTTATAAATTATTTAATTATAAACTTTAGTAATATAATTAATATAATTCTTAAGAACTATAATATAATAAAACTTATTTAAAATTTAATAAAAGAATATATAAATATTTATAATATTTTTTATAAAATATAAATTATTATTATAAAAAATTATAAAAATTAAATAAATTAGTTTTATTTTATATATATTAATATAACCTTTATTACTTTTAAAACCTTAATTATAATTATAAAAAATATAGTATTTATAAATTAATAAATAAAAAATATAACTATATATATATTCTAGGAGTATAAATAAAAAAAAAAAAAATAAAAAAAAAATATTAATATCTTAAAGAATATTTACTTTAGAAAATAAACTTAAAATAAATATAAAAATAAATAAAAGCTATTAAATAAAACCTAAAAGATACCTATAACTATATTTTAATTTATAATATTTTTAATACTTTTAATAAAGATTATAGTAAAAACTATTAAAAAAAATATAATAATATATATTATTAAATATATATACTTAATAAATTAAAAAATTAATAAAATAAGTAATTAAAAAAAGTTAAAAAAAAATTACTTAATAAATTATTTTTTAAACTATAATATATAATATTATAAAAAATATTATAAAAAAAAATATTAATTTTATTAAATAACTTAAAAGCTTTTATAAAAAGGCTATAACTTTAATAATTATTTAAATAAAAAATAAAAAAATAAAACCTTAATTAAAAAATATTATTATATAATTAATAAATAAAATAATTAAATAAAATATTAATAGTATAAAAAGTATTAATTTAAAATATAGTAAAAAAGCCTTTTAAATATAATTACTATTAACTTAATTAAAATATTTAAAATAAATTAATAATTAATAAATATATAAACTAGTAATTAATTAAAATTTATATAAATAATAATTTAGATTATAATTTAATTACTAATAGCCTAGTAAACTGGCTTAAAATACTATATATTATTAAAAAAACATTATTAATTATCTTTAGTATTATAAGCATAAGTATAAAAATAACTATTATTTATAAAATTAATTATTTTTTTATAATAGTTATTAATTAAATTAAAAATATTAAGTTTAATATACTAAACCCTTAAGATTATAATATTTTACTAAAATACCTATAATTAAAAAAATATAACTTTATAATTAATTAAAAAAAAAAAGAAATAATTTAAAAAGAAAATCTTTTTTTAAAGTTATAATTAGGCTAAGAAGAAAGTAAAGAAAGTAAAAATATATTTATAAACCTATAACTAAAACCTTCTATATAATTAAAAAAAAAATAAAATAAAATAAAAAAAATAAAGCTAAGAAAATAAAAATATAAAAAAAAGTTAAATTTAACTTTAAAAAATTATTAATATTATTATAATATAATAATTAATAATAAAAAGTAAAAATTATATATATTAATAAAATTATTACTAAATATTATATAAAACTAGCTAAATTTAATATAATATTAATAAAAGTAAAAAAATAATTTAAAAATAATAAAAATAAACCTTTAGCTAAAATACTATAATAATATTAAAAGTATAAGAAATTATATTAATAAGTTTTTAAAAAAAATTATTATTTTACTTAAAATAAAATTATAAAATTATTTTTAAAAATAAAACTTTACTAAAGCTTTATAAAATCTATAATTTTAATAAAATTAAATTTAAAATACTTAAAGAATAGCTATAAATATAATTAAATAAAAAATATATTAAAGTATTAAACTCTTTAATAAAGTATTTTATTATTTTTATATTAAAAAAAAATAAAAAACTTTATTTAATTATTAATTATTAATAGCTTAATAAAATAATTATTAAAAATAAAATACTTTTTTTATTAATTATTAAAATTAAAAAAAAAATTATAAAGTATATATTAGTTTATAGCTTTAGATTTTATAAAAACTTATAAATGTATAAAAATAAAAAAAAAATATAAATAAATAATTACTTTTAAAATAAAATATAAATTATTTAAATATTTAATTATATTATAAAGATTTATAAATATATTAATATTATTTTAAAAAAAAGTTAATTTTATTTTTAAAAAATACTTAAATAATTTTATAATAGCTTATATTAATAATATTTTAATTTTTTTAAAAATATTAAAAATATAATAAATATATTTATAAAGTATTATTAAAATTATAAAACATTAAGCTTTTTATTAACCTAAATAAATATTAATTTTATATATAATAAATTAAGTTTTTAAATATATTATTATACTAGAAAAAGTTTAAATAAACTTAAATA